CCGTACATTAACACAACCAGTTCACATGTAGCCTTATGTCAAATGGAGAGCATGCCTCTCAGAACCTGCAAAACTATGCAAACATCACAGCAGCACCTCTCCCTATACATGCTTCCAGTAACAACTGCTTCAGTTATCAAAAATAAAAATCACAGGCCTCAAAATTAGTGAAGAGTTATAAACTTTCAACCAAATCAAACATGTTTAAAGAAGTGAAAAAATGACGAGGAACTGATGCTTATATGTGACTCCTTCCAATCAGCAGAAGCCTGAAACATAATAGATTCTTTTTCAACTTCTTTAGATACAAAGGGACGTTAAAGAGGAACTGATCAGAGCTTCATAGTGAGTAACTTGAAACAGAGGGAACAAAAAGTTGTTTTAGACTTTCAGGATAGTTAGAGTAAGGACATTCAAAGATAATCAATGTGCGGTGTGAGCTTTCGTAATTGTACATGCCAGAAAAGGTTTGGCAACCACTAAGTCAGATTAGAGTTAGATGTGAAATCCTTACCTTGTACCACTTAAAAGCTATGCTTCTGAGAACCTGAGACTTAGATAAACATCAAATAGAACAACACCCCACAAGGTGCAAGTTCCCAGTACATTATACAGAGCAGATAACCTGAAGTTACATCCGAATCGTTCATCACTATGCTCAAATATGCCATTTTGAAAACACATAGCAATTGCATTAATGGACATCCACTCATACATTATAGGTTATGTGGTACCTTTGAACAAAAACAGAGCACATTTAAAATAATAATATCAATGAAAGCCATGAGAGCCATTTTCTTTTTCTCCTTTTCATTGGCTGTTCCACATCTAACCAGCCCATATAAGTTTCTACACCTTTGGTTGCACCAAGCAAATCACGCCTCTGCACCAGAATGTGCAGAACAAGTGGTTTTTCTTTTTTTCTTGCAATAGAGGCAACATTTGCCTGGAATTATACAGGATAGATGTGGTTAGAAAAGCCTTTTATGTACTGTGGGTGTGCAAAGAAGAAAATCTCAAAATGAAAAAAAAAAAACCCGTAGGAAACTGACACCACGGTAAAGGCATGAACTTTTGATAAAAAGCACGCTCCACAGAAGCGATTTATTTAATGTTGTGCGTTACCGTGGCAACTCCGACTTTACTCCAGTCATTTTTTCCCTTTCCATCCAAAAAAAGTCAAAACTCTTCCACCATACAGCAAGTCCTCATAACCGGTTTCATATCACTGCTTCTCCTGTCAGTACTTCTATAGTAACTGTGTTGAAACTCAGTGGTTATTACTCATTATTAATTCATATTCATATTTAAAATAAATTAAATGCATTTTTCCCTTTCACAGTTTATGCAGTACCAGAAATGAATTCTCTTT